TATATATATATATGTATACAAATATTTATATTTGTCATTATGCTTCATCTGCAGTGTCGTTCTGAGTACTTTATCATTTTAGGCGCACCAAGCTGCCACGGCGACTTTGCTTTGGGACTTCATTAAACCATGGGCCCGTGCAAGGACCTACTAAACCAGCAAACGGTCTCGGGATGCCCTCAGACAAGACTTTCACTGATCTTAACGTAGCCTACCATCTGTCTTTTGCTGCGCTGAGTTCTTGCAAAGCCTCCAGGCCGTCCAGCGCCCAGTGAGGGCCGATTCGAGGCTGTCGAAACGGGGTTTAGGGTTTATGGGGCTTTAGCAAAGGAAAGAGGATGCAGCAGTGAAGCGGTTGATTGCTTTTGCTCGGCTGCTTATACTGAAGAGGTTAGTGCCAGCTGGTGCTCTGACCGCCAGTGATGTCGGCCGGCCTGACTGGCCTGACTGGCTGCCGCAAGTTGGTCGGATTTGTGCCGGGAGGTACGTCGAGATCGATGGAGTTGTCCACGAGGTCTCCGGCTGCGTGGCTGCATTTATTATTTGGATCCGCCGAGCATGGCTTGCACCGGACTCCTGCTATTCCCAGGCTATTCCTCGAGATTCCAAAGCCAAGTAGTTCACGACTATACATTGCACTATTGGATCTCCGACCGTTTAGGGCATTGCCTGCAATGAAGGGGGTTGGAGGTCTCTGGGTCGTCCCTGATCAAGGCGACATCGTGGCCAATTGGCCTGAAGATGACTGGCCGCGCTTGATGCGCTGTCGGCTTCTCTTTGGTATCCGAGGTTGAGTTGTTATTCCCGCCGTCTCGGACATCATCAGGGTTTTCCGGCCCGCAGGGCAGATGATGCATTTTCCGAAGAGACGCTGGGCTTCTGGACACGTCGAGTTCTGGGATGTCATGGAAGAGTCTACCGAGCAATGAGAACCGCTTGCACCTATCCCTCGAACCGACATGTGCTGCAATTAAATTTGGCGATCTGCCGCCTGACCTTGTCAGGTACGCTGCGCTGCACTGTATAAAAACTTGTACAAACCTATTGCGTCACGCACGCGTGCCAGTAGGTACCAGCTGTTTCGTCCTCTTAGATTGGAGGACCAGGCGGACCCAACAACGGGCCCCGCTGTATTGCAAGAGACACGGGAGATCCAGCCATGGCTCAGCGCAAGCCAGGCTACAACCAGTTCGATTCAGGTGGCCGTGTCATTGTTCCACAGGTTTCGTAATCCATGAGCCCCGAGCTCTGAAATTCCTTCCCGTTCCACATACGCCTCCCCACAGAATCGTGATGCTTACACTCCTGTTACTATAGGTGTACTATAGATGGTAGTAGTGCGAAAGGCATGCTTGTGCTACTTCTGCTACTAGCTGTCATGTCAAGCCTTGCGTTTCATGCCGCTCGTAGTGTACATGCTGCACTTAACGGAGGTGTTGCCATCGTAGTGAGTTCACTAGCAGTGAAGAGTGAAGGATGCTACGACGAAAACTAACCACGTTGCCTTCAGCTTTTCCACTGACCTCTCTCCTTTTCTTGCTTGTCCGGGACTTCAGAACCCTGGAAGGTGCTCTGAATTCGCATCCCAAGCCGAAACCCTCAGCCCGCCCTGAACAGAAGCTAAAAACCTCAAGGAAGTTTCTGCTGACTAAACCTTAAGCAATTATACCCGGTTTAGAATAGAACTATTAACCATCCAAGGTCTGCGTCCGGACATGCTACGTCTTTAGAAGCCTTTTTCGAAACTTATCTCCAACGGTCCCTAAACCCGCCTGAAGGTCGAAGCACGGGCTCTGAACTGCAAGTTGAACTCCAAGCTCAAGGATCCTTTTGTCCCTCTTTACAAACCTCCGCGCCAAACCCCCAAACGATGTTCAGAAACCGAGACCCTGAACCCCCTAAACCCTAAA